TCATGTGGTTAATGATGCAGAATTACTCGAGAGTACCTTCGTTTGATGAACTCGTTGGTAATGCCTCTCTGAGTTGAGATATTCAAGATATTACTGAAACCCAAACCACTGACTATGTCACAAGAAATTTATGTCCAAATTAAAAACATGAACAGCGTGGTGACTGAAATAGTCACTGTTTTAAATGACACTGGAATATAGCCAAGCTGTGGTAAGACCAATACTTATGACTTTTACAAAAAAAAAAAAAAGAAAAAAAAAACCAATTAAATCAGTGTGGTTACCTGTAGGTATTATAAATAGATTATCTTAGTATTATAAGCCCAATAAAAAACCAAAATAAACAAGGCAGCTGTGACTTTTCTTTTTACAAAATAAATCAGAATAAAATCAGAGTGGTTACCTTACCACAGGAATCACAGAGCCCCCCCACCACTGACGATGACGAGAAGCTGGTACGGGGGAAAAACAGTTGGCCGGACAGAACAAAACAGCCGAGGATTGACAAACCGAAATGATAGAAAACGACCAAACTGCAATATTGTATTGGTTAAGTTAAAGCGTATTCTGTTTTTTTACAAAAACTTATTTTAAATAATTTAGACAGCAAAATTGATTAATTATCAAGTAAAATATAATTTTTAATGGTATTGCCGGGCCGAAAGTAGGCTAAACCAGCAATGCATGTCGGTCTTTCCGTTTGGTTGGCCTTTAGCGCCGTTCATTTTTCCTAATTATCCGATTTATTATTGGAAAATTTGTATTAATATATTTTTGCCGTTATTATGGCTCAGAATTTCCCCCTTATTTTAACATTTTTGTATATAAATATAACAAATTTTCCTTCATAAAGACTTTAACGGAAGATATCCACTGGATTGAAACCTCCTCACACATTTCATATTAATATTACTTGTATATATTTGTTATTATTTGCCAATCTTTATATGACTAATATTGTACATCCAATAAAGTTATCTATATTAATAAAAAATAAATACAAAAATTGACTCACTGGAATATAGCCCAGCTATGATAAGCCAACACTTCCGTATGACTTTTCTTTTTACAAAAGAAACAGAAATCATAAGAAAATCAGCGTGGTTACCTTATCCTTCTTACATCCTTAATTTTATTTATTTATATTTTTTCCGTGGACAGATAGGCCATAACCAACTCTTGATAGTGATTCCGTATTTTATGTTAGAACTCTTGACAGTATTTTAAATGTATATGTTTTAACCACACACCGCATACATACTAGACTTATACAATTAAAAATCAAAAGGGGGACTCGATATTCCGCCAGTGGCCAATTCTTCATACACACATAACTAGCCTCAATGCATGTTTTCGTTCTGCTCATCCATCCAACATTCTCGCTGATAAATACATTTAACCACAAAAGTAAGAAGAAGGAGCAGATTTTATTAGGGCACACATTCATGGATTCACAGATTGCTCATATAGAAGTAATTTCTCCTGTTAGTCACTGCTGAGTGCTTCTGCTTTAGTCACATTTCGTTGATCCGAGGGTAGGTCACCCCGTTCCTATTACAATTTTTAATCCTTCGCACTTCCGTTACCGGTTCATCGTACTGTGGGCAGTATAACATCACTGATTACGGTCACTGCACAATTTAAATGAGTGGTTTTTTAAAATTTTTTCCCTCTTCTCAAAACCCTCGCTGTAACTATTTACCACAATTTAAACAATCTAAAGACTTTCTGGCCGTAGTTAAAGTGGTCCTACCATTGCCACTCAAAATTGTAATTATGTACTAAATGTAATTTATTGTTTGGTAAGAATATATGTTCTCTTATCGCACTGTGGGCGTTGTTTTGGTAGGCTTCCAACTTGAAGATGGTCATGTGTGAATCAGGTCTGGCCTATCCTCCGTCCCAATGTAATTCTTAATTTTCTCCACGGTTTGTGTCGTTTATATTTTCTAGTTTTTCGGTCATTTCAACAAAGCGGCTTAGTCATTGATGATAAAATTTTTCCTTTTTCGATTAACGTACACTGGACTGACTGGTGGTCCTGGGGCTCTTTTTGCTGCCTTGTAAGCATTATTACCTGGGATACCAAAATGAGCCTCCGACCCAGTCTGCCTTTTTCGATGTATCTTTCAGCATGGAGAATTCATTTGCCAGTGCTGAATTGGCATATGACACTTATTCCAAAAACCAGGTAGAGAATCATATATTTAAAATATTCTTTATTTGGTGATAAACTGCTGAATTTAGTGTTACATTGTGGCTGTATTTCTGTAAATTCGCATTTTCACACACCCTAACCATCCCTAAATAATTTAATTTTTTTTAATAAGCGTAAATTCGGCCTTTGAAGAATTATAGAACACAGTGTTTTGTAGCTTTTAAGTTTTTTTTCGAAGCATCCTATCGGCACGTCATGATTTGCGCGGAACCACGTCCGTAGTCTGATCAATGATCTGATACACAAACTACAATGTATCAAATCAACTCGATTCAGTTATCTAGCTATCGTAAAATAAAGATTTTACAACTGCGCTGCTATAATTTTTCAATAGTTTGATGTACAAGTGCAGGTGACCGCAATATATTCAAACTGTACATAACGATTTGTAATAAATGTTTCTATGCCACTATTTATACGAATAATATTAATGCGAGTTAATTATGCAAATATATTTTAAAAACAAAATTCTATTATAAGTGACCTTTTTATGGTGGTTTTCGACAATGGTTAATGTTAAAAAAGTGAAACTGGAGTTTAGAATCTAAAATAAATTAAAATTCTTATCTTTTTAAAAATTTAAAAATATATATTACATAAAGTTTAAGTCCTTTTGAAAGTAATTAAGTTGAAATCATTCTCTACGATATAGCCGACCGGATCGTTTACAAATTTCGTTACAAATTATTAATTTAAAAATCCAGCGACTGGAATAAGAAGCGTCACATTAGGCCAGACGTTATTGTGCTTCATTTGATTAACGAGCCTTTATTGTTGCCCTAACACTTTCCCTTTTCTTCCTCCGGCCCCCGCCCCGACATATTGCCCGGACCCCCTTTGTCGGTTAATTACTCTGTGGGAGGAAAAACTTACAGACCTAACCTCAGAGCGTCTTTGTGGTCCAAATTCAAAGCAACAAGGAAAAAGTTGATTTATGATTCCCTTGAATGAGGTGTTTCCATGTCATGGAAACCTCTGGTGCATTTCACTTTTTAACAGTTTAGCCATCAAGGGACAAAAATTGAAGAAAAAACTTTCTTTACACACTTTGTCCAGGTGAAAGAGGCGACATCTTACAGCTGAACTTCAAAATCTTACATTTATTTTCGTTTAATTTCAAATTATTACGCTTACACCAAAGCCAAAAGCGACTCAAGTCATTTTTGCAAGAGAATACAATTTTTAATTAACGTTTTGGTTGAGATAAAATGGCAAAAAGGTGGGGTTAAGATGGGAAATTGGCGTCCGAGTGGATCGAAGTCACGATAGCTCAAGTGGTAGACCAGCGGCGTATTTAGTGAAAAACAAAATTCATGTTTTTATTTGTCATTATGGTTTTTTTGTGAAAATAGAAAAATGATTTTTTTCCTCAAATTTTTTTTTCAAACCACAAAAGTGGTTATAAATTTAAACTACTCCACAGGACTTAGTACACATTATAGGGTTTTAATATTATAATTTATTAAATTCACTAGTTTCGTGGTCCACTCGACCAATTAATATCTTACAATTAATTAAGGTTTTCAGTTGAGATAAAGAAGTTAAAAAAATGGAAAAATGGCAAAAAGAAGGGCAAATTCAAAAGGTGTGGTTGAGATGGGAGGTTGGTGTCCGAGTGGATCGAGGTCACGATTGCTCAAGTGGTAGAGCAGTGGCGTATCAAGCCGAAGATCGTGGGTTCGAATCCCGCTCGTGACACTGACTTTTTAATCTCAACCAAAACCTTAATTAAAAGATTAATTAATTGAAAAGTAAGAATAACATTACACGATTGCTAAACCAATACTATTTAATTAATCACATAATTGTGTATAATCAAAGAATTCCAAAGAAACATTAAAATAAACTGTACCTAAAACAATACAATTGAGTAACAGTTAAAATTTCAGAGTTCCAGTTTCTCTCTTCTTACTCTCACTAAATAATCCATCACACGTTCCAAAACAAATGAATGCGCGTTTCAACATTTAGGAGGCCTTGTGAGCCTTATAAATTACACTTCCATTGGTTGAAGGCTAATACTAATTGTACTAAGACTGATTGTACTAAGGAATAAATTTTCTTCATTACGCTTCTTATTAGTTTTGATTTCATACATTAATTTCGAAATTATTTTACTTATAATAAATAGTCCACTTCTAATCTCATCTAATTAATTTCTATTTAATTTATTACTATTTGATATATACGCAAGATCCCCTTCTTGAAATTTATATTCTTTTCTGTGTTGGTCAATTCTTTTCTTGTATTCTTTTCAGTGTTTTTGAACGCTTCTTCTCTATCTGCCAGTAGGTCGTAGTTTTTTGCAATGAAGTTGATACAATTTAAGATGTTTTTCCATTTAGTAGGAATTTTGCTGTGCTATGAACCGTGTAATTAAATTTCTTGTCACACAAATCGGCTATTCTCGTTCATGGTGTATATTTATTATTTTGGTTATTATTTATTTTATCACGAATTCTGTTCTTTGAAGTTGATTTAATTTTTCATTCAAGCCGTTTGATTGAGGGTTGTTTACTGACGTGAAAACCAACTGGATGCTCATCTTCTTTAAATATTGTGTAAATGTTGTTGGTTTTAGAGTTTCAGTTTCTGTCTTTTTACTTTCACTAAACATGTTCAACAATTTAGGAGGCCATGTGAGCCTTACAACTTATTTACTGAGTTTTAAGCCAGAATTAATTATTTTATTAATTCATTCGTAAGAATTGTATATGTGAATGTAGTGTTGAATTATTGCCAAATATGTTGATGATAAAGTTTTGTATTTATTTTTAAACAGAAAGAGCATGTCAAGAGAAGAGGGCCAAGCAGGCTCAAGCTCTTTGGACAGCAGCAGAGTCACTTCTGGCAGCGATCGCTCCTCCTGTGCTCTGTGCACTTCCATCAAAAGACGGCCAAGAAAATGTTGACAACGAGAGGACTGGGCCGTTTAAGTCTCTTTCCAGCGAAATCAAAGCCATTAGGAACGTTACACGTAAGTAGTTTTGATTTAAAAAAAGTTTGTTTATATTTGTAATGCTTGGATTTCGCCTTTCTTGTTTGCCTGTTTTGAATACTCGCCTAAAGCTTTAAAAGTCCTTAAAGACTAGTACAACTTGTCATTCGTGCACTTTGCACAATTTATGTGACAACGAGTTTTGGGGTCAAGGAGGATCCAGGCGTTAATCATCGTTCGCCGTCAAAATTACCTACCGAGTTTAAATTGTCCGGATAAATCTCTTTGGCCAACAGAGTGGCTTTTATTACTAAACAGTCGTCCTATCTCCGGTGTATTATTTCATCTGAGGCGGATTCGTACTAAAAGATAAACAATCTTGTTTACACGGCCCCGGGAGGCGAAGGCTGGAGGCTTAAGCCTGTACGCAAACCGAACTCCTTAATCTCATAATCCTTCCATTGACCTATTTGTCTGAAACGTACTTGCAGGTTTCTCCTGGAAACTAAAGGAAGAAGGGTCATAAAGGTTCGCGGTTTAGTAGTGTTCAATAGCAACAAACTTCAACTTGTGTAAACACTTTCAGAAAGCGTTTTTGGGTTTACTTTTCCATTATAGTTCTGTTTTAAACTCAAAACGACATTGCAACGAACCTACATAAAATTAGATTCTGGCATCAAAAAGATTGTTCATAATCTTAAAATAAAACTAACTGATCTAAACTCATTTCATAGAACATAATAATAGTATAAACTTCCTTGAACTAACTGTTCCAAAAACTGACGCAAAGTACATTTGACATGTCAGGAAAACCGTCAAACAAATGATCATAACAGCAGACTCATGTTGTCCATAGCGATCCATAAGATGGACATAATTAAAATATTATACATAATAACAGATGTAAGTACAAACAGGCACTACATACAATAAAAAACACAACACACAATAGCGGCATGGGCACAGTCATCAAGAAAATAAACCACACATATATATAATACTACGAAAAGTACAATTTTATAGGGAAATATATAGCATATATTGAAATAATTATACAGTATATTATACAGTATATATATATATATATATAAAACTGTATAATATACTGTATAATTATTTCAATATTTATATATATATATATATGTATATATATATATAGTAAAAACTAACCAATTTGACAAAGAATATATATAAATTGTACTAAACACAACAAACTCAATTGAAAAATCCCTGGTAATTCGTATTGACAAAACTAGGAACAACTAGAAAACTATTTCAAAATACGGACTATTTTTTTAGTTGTCACAACTGCGCTTCAAGCAACAAGTTGTCTTTATTGAATTTTATATTACAAGAGAGGAGAACATAACCCATTAGTTATAAACCTATCACAACACTATTCACATTTCACATTTGGGAGGAAATCGCAAGACCATCGGCGCTTTAGGCGTCTTGGAGTATTGTCAGGAAGGATTCTGGATGCTTTCATCTTTTTCAGTCCGACTAGAGGTATGAAATGAAGGTCCAGGGTTTCCGTTAAGCTGTCAGGTTCTTACGTTTGCGAGGAAAAACAAGATTTGAAGGTCCGTGTAGATAATATTGCTGCCCACGAAGCAAGGAACTTGGAGCAATGGTTCAATGGATTTAGGGATGAAGTAACTGGATTCTTTGGCGGTCATAATGCTTGGTTGAATAAACCCGACAGTTCAATTCCGTTCGTGTAGTAGCAGTGATGCGTCAATTTATATCGCTTGTTCTGTTTTTTTATTCTGAGTGACTTGCAACTAAGTATTTTGTCGATGTAAAGTCTCGAACAGCTGATGACATTGGTTGCTGGAGGAAGAATGTGGTCTTGAAAGCAATTACTGGGTCTAGTTGTTGTGAAAGGATGGTTGTGTCGTCTGCACACCGGAGGAGTATCGGGATTGATAGAAAGGTATGTATAATATGTGTACTGTATAGAGTATGGCACCAATGATGCTGCCTTGCGGAACGCCGGCGTAGTAGCTGGGGGTAGAAGGATGTTACGATTTGACGTTGAAACTGCTATTAGATAGATTTTAGGATGAGATAATAAGTAAATGGAAGGATGCCCTTGCGTTTCCAGAGCAACCCCAGGGAGGATGCAATGAACCATGTTGCATTGTTGAATGGTAGCCATGTAGCCTGAACTCAAATCGATGGGATGGTAAGCACTAGAGCCTTCAAAGATTCAAGAAGTTTCGGAAGTTTTTCAATCATTTTGCCAACGATTGACAATAAACTGATGGGGCGATATGTCGTAGGGTAATGATGAAGCTTTTGATTTTGGGTTTCGGTTTTTTATTGATAGTTCTTATTAGATTGCGAAGTAGCTAGTTTTAAGGGCTGAGATGTAACTGGAGGTAAGGAAAAAAAACTTTCACTACGGATATGTCAAGTTCTGTCTGCGAACTTGAAATGTTTACATCACGTACAAAAATGACGAAAAATGGAAATATTTGAACCTATAGGAATATAACAAAACATACCTCTTTGACACACACTAGTAATAGGAAACTTTTTAAGACATGCCTGTATTTTTCAGTATTTTCTGTATTGTACACTATCTTCTCTTTCAGCCTTTTCTTTGAAGGTACTCTTAAAAAACAATTATTTAAAAAAAATAACTAAATTTCTTCGGAACATGATTTCTAAAATTTCACAAATTTCAGTCCAGGATATTCCACGATTTCTTACTCAAATTAAATAGGATCACCCTTTTTTGCCAAAACATGTCCGCTTTTATTTTACAGGTTGGGGTAAACCCCGTTCGAATCTTTTATATCGATGGGAGTGTATCGTGAACATGGTTCCAAGCAAAAAAGGTGTAACAATCTCCATTTTCTCCCTGCCTTTTTACGTTTTATGACATTCCGAGGTTTCCTCGCGTTCTAAAAAGTCGCTTTCGATCTTCGCCTTAACCCTTTCCCAGATTGGAAAACAGTGCTTTTCTAAACCTGCATTGTCTTTTATTTGTTTGACAGTTATTCGACATTTTTGTTTAATTGTGAAACTAACAGAAGAAGGAATCTTTCGTAAAATGCTTAAGGAAAAAATAGTTTATTAATTATTCCTTGAGATACGATTTCAAACAATCAATTTGTATTGCCAAACTCGAACATTGCGTACGGAATGTGAGTTCTAATCTAGCATCCGTTAACGTGATTTAATTGCGAACTGTTAACGACGATTCTACAAGAAACTATTCGGTTGGGTAGCATTTTATCTTTTCGGCGTCGTGGATAGTAAGTAAACTGTGTACTAACTACTGTTCAGAGCAGAAGACATTTGGAAAATTATTTTTAATTTAAAAAAAAACTTCTAATTTGTGATCTACGGTTTGATTTGAGCGGAAAATTAATAAACAATTCGTGTTTCTACTGGTTACTTTAGTACAGTTTGATGATTCTAAATGTTTCATAATATAATTAATCGATTTTATTGCAACAGGAGTTTTAAAAACTAGTTTACCAATTTTTTTAATTTTTCTGGCTCACTTTTTCCATAAATATGTTTTTCTGTGTCTGCCTGTCTGTCACTCTCAATCTCTCTTTCTCTTTTTTTCTATCTCTTTCTTTCTTTCTCTTTTCCTCGCTGTTTCTCTATATCTCTCCTTTTAGCTTTCTTTCTTTTTAACTACTTTTTCACAAAGGTAGCTTTTTCTTATCGCTTTGATTGTTTTTGCTTTTGTACCACTTCCGTTTATACTGGAGCTTTATTGTCAACAAAATCGTAAAAACTCAGGATGATCAGAGTGATTTTCACAACTCAGTCATTTTGGTGAAACAGTCAAAAACATAAATGTCAACCCGAGCATTGTTGTGTGATCTTCCATCGTCCATACTAGTAAACTTGCCTCCGCACTAGAATTTCGGAATAAACTAGGTTCATTTTCTCATGAAACCGAATCATTAATCTGACCATTGTGGTTAAATTTGTTTTCGTATGAGTCGGGGTTTTGTTTACGGATTCCGTCTGGATCTTGGCCGAACAGGGGAACAATATTGCCCTGGAAGCTTTTCACTCGGAAGAGAGATCAAGCACTGACCTTTCACACTTTCGTATCTTTCTTACTTTTCAGCTGTTAATCATTCTCATTCTTTAGAACTCAGTGTCATATTCTTTCACTCTGACTCACACATTCCGTCTCTTACCTATTTTTGCTTTTCCTGTGTGCTTAAAATAATCGGCCAAACCGTACGGCGCTCCTGCCATACCACAGAAATATTTACAATAAGTTTTACCTTGTAAAAGTTTACTTTGTTGCGTTTTATTGTGTTTTTAGTAGTACACCCTTACATCTTACAACTGTGTCATTTAAAAATTGTAGAGGGATTTATGAATTGTTTGATTTCAGGCAATGAAGACGAATTAGTGAACGCTGTTTTGGACTCGATACCACTCGTAGCAGTTGAAAGAGGTGTTTTTCACGAAACCGCCCTCAGACAGAGGTTCCACAACGTGGTTAGAGTAGCGAAAAGGGTTGCTTTGCTCCCGGAAGGTGGTGCATCCTTGCCGACCATGTTCTTGGCGTATCTGGCTTCGCTTTTCGTCATATCGCCCGCCAATCCCATTCCGTGCTACGAACTGATGAACGAGCCGTTCGACAGCTCTGAGTTGAATAATTACGAAATCCTCCAGAGGGCGCAGTAAGTCTCATGGCATTCCCATCTCATCTCAAACATCTGATCTTTCCCTTGTTTTTCAGATATTGGATGGACAACGGTGATTATTTCCAAGTCCTTAGGTACATGAATTTGCTTCAAGGTGCAGCCCAGGTCATATCCAGGGAATTCATCAAAGAGCTGACCCTTTATCTCGAAACGAAACAGGCAGGCGAAGTGCTCGCGACGTACGCCGCCGCCGCCGGCCTCCCCCAATAACCGAAGCATCTCACCCATCCCAGTCAAACAGATCTAAGATAAGGACAAAGGATCCCGAATGGCAAGGTGCGATACACAATCCTCAAAATCTATTGTTGTTAATGTCTCATAAAACGTTCGTCTTGTTGCCGTTTTAAATGTTGCGAACGATGTTGGACAGCCCGAGGCCACATCCGTATAACAGTGAAATTTATTTTCTCGGCGTGTCAACTTAAAAGCCACAAAAATAAAGTGTTTACTACATGATAATCTTGTTGTTTTCATTCCTTTAAAATATTTTAAGTAGTTATACAATACGGCTTCTTGAAAACGCACTGCTTTGTCCGACATTGCGGGAATCAAAAAAGAACAAATAAACTTTTTTTTAAATTTTAATTTATATGAACTTTTACAATATTTCAATTTATACAAACCATTCAAATCTATATTCCTTATTTTGACTTTTTTTAGTAATTAATTAGTTAATTATATTGTGATCGCCTTTATCCGTATACAATTTGACCTCTAGGGAGGTTTGATGGGGGCAATTCTGTTAAATAGAATTCTGAAAGTTTACTGCCTGTTATTATATAGTACTTATTGATGAATTCTCTAGACTGTAAATACAGAATAAAAACAATATTTATTAATTTGTTTACAATTATTTTTCACCCATGTTCACTACTTCTCTGCTTTCATCTCATGTAAGTACATCAAAACGTGTACTTCAATAAGTTGAATTTTAATGTGAAAGGTAACTTTTTTGACAAATTTCCAAATAGCAAAGGTAAGTATGTTTTGTGATGAATTAATTCTTAATTTGTTTATTTATAATAAATATTTTACTACTTTATGAAATTAAAACTACAACATGTAATTAGAGAATTATGTATTTACATTGTTGGTGTGCATTGAGGAGAAAAAATTAATGTTATTCTTCTATTTCCCTTCACTTCACTTTTTTTAAATTTTATATTTATTTCAGTCTGTACCTTATTTACATTTTGTAATGAGATGGATCTTCTACAATATTTACAAATCGCGAGGATATATCCCATTCCGTCGTCTAGTGGGATTACAGGGGTGGTTTGTATTGGAAACGTATTTGGCAACTCGATTGGGGTGAGGGGAAAATATTTTGGAAATTATTTATTTGTATTTGGTATTTGGAAGGCAGAAATCAAGGAGCTTAAAAATTTTAAGGACATATAAGTGCAGTGTCAGTGTGTAACATCAATAGGTCCGTAGTTGCCTCTATATAGATGTAACTAGGAATTGAGAAGGGGGCTTCTTGACGAAAAATCAATGGAATTTCTTAACTACCAAGTAACCAGAAAAGTTCTCGATTTTGCATTTGTTGTTGTTTTAAAACAGTTAAGTAGAAATGTGTGGTGAGTCGCGACCATTAGTCCATAATTATTCAGAAATGGCGAGATGCGGTCTGATGTGATGTAGGTTTCAGAAAAACATTTTATTTATCGTATCTTCAGATCATCTGTACGCAGAAAACAAACACTTTGAGTGAGTAGAAATACTTTGATTGAATATAATAAATATATTTTTTTTGCATTGTATAAATTCACTTTTTCCACATCTTACATGTATTTGTTAAATGTAAACAATGCTTGTAAATCCCAGGCCCTGAAGATGATCTCAATAAAGATCGAAACGTTGGCACGAAAAAGAAATGTTTTTCTGAAACCTGCATCCCACCAGACCGCATCTCACGATTTCTGAATAATTAAAGTTAAGTAATCTGAATTTTTATTTACATAGAATTAGGTGTTTACATCATATAATACTAAGAGGATAATACGTCAGTTAATAAAGAAAATGTGACTTGAACAGTTAGTTCTCTTCTATATTATAAAATATTCACTAATTTCGTGGTCCGCTTGACCAATTAATACATCACAATTAATTAAGGTTTTTAGTTGAGATAAAAAAGTCAATGGCATGAGCGGGATTCGAACCCACGATCTTCGGCTAGATACGCCGCTGCTCTACCACTTGAGCTATCGTGACCTCGATCCACTCGGACATCAACTTCCTCCGCTCGTGCCATTGACTATTTTATCTCAAATAAAAACCTTAATTACTTATAAAATATTTTATTTCACATCTTTCAATTGGCACCCGAAACTTGTCATAGAATCACAAACCCAGAATCAGCAGTAAATGTAATGAAATTAGTTTTCAGGTGATCGCACGGGGAAATATGCGACCTATGATGATACCATCTCAAAACTACAACCTTAAATTTGGCGAAAGGTCAATAATAAAACGGAAAAAATCTGGTCGGTATCCATTTATAGATTTCTTTTGAGATTTTGAGACCAGATTCCGCGGTTCATCCCGTTAAATAATAAAATATGCCCAACTTTGCTGAATTCATAGTTTGTTTATTACATGTTTAGCTTTTGTCCGTACATACATACGATAAAAACCTTGCCAAAACCTTTTGCTCTAATTAAATTACATTAACGAATTTATCTGCCGCGACTGAGACTCGGCAGTTCAAAATTATCTCAATTATTTCCCCACAATTCGTAACGTTGTATAATAACGAAAATAGTACATTTACAAATACAACGTTCATTTATTTTCATTAAATAATCTTGTTTTTATTAATAAATATTGATAAAGTTAGAGAGATACGAGGATAAAATGTAATAAAATAAGATAAAGAAAGATACGAGGCAGAAAATGGTTGGAGCGATTTGTTGTTTGATATATATAAATTAATTGATTACCAGAGTCTTGGGAAATTACCATTTATAGAGGTTGAAATAAAAGTATTTACTGAAGAGTCACCATTAGTAGTCCCAGCGGCAAAATGAGATTAGTTAATTGCCATTCAGGGCTTGACACCGCTTTTTATTTATTTTTCTCTGACGTGCTGTAGACTCAATTTCTCTTGGTTAACCAGCAAGCATTTTTCCTTTACATTTTCATTTAACTTCGCTTTACTTTATAGCTTTTTCCCACCAACCTTGCGGCAGCTTTCTTTTGAATTCTTCAGAATAATCTAGCAAAGACGATTAGACCTTTTATTTCAATAGATTTAATAATACCGATTTAGGACTCTTTTATGACAACCCTCGACCTCTGTTGTCAAATTGGTCTAATTTTAGTTGGAAGGTTCAAGGGGAAATTTCTCCTCTACAAGTTATACATGCGAAGTTCCCTTAGTTTCTGATTTATTAATACCAACCAGCAAATTTAATCCGGCGAAAACTTCCAAAAGCCTCTCCTATTTTAATTAGGTAAATACTAGTTTCTACTCGTGCTTCAAGCTCAAGGCGTTTTACGACCAATTCCATTATTATTTTTCTACCTTTTGTGGTGATTTAAATTTTTATAACGATTATGAAATATTTTTTTCCAAAAAATGGCACAAACCAGGTTGGTGAGTCACGGATTTGGACGAAACTTTTTTTGGTCATTCTTTATTTCAAATTATCGGACAGGTATCCGCTAATTCTTGTGAATAGGCCCTGGTTTCGCCAAAACATTTTGTTTTAACGTTGAAATTTTCGGTTTTTTTAATATTTTTATTTTGCCGTTCTACTTGTTCAAATCAACTTTGTGAATATATCATTTTACAGCGTTTTTTATGTAAATTGCATTAAAAAACAGCAAAAGGTATAAAAGTTTATCAATAACCAAAAAATGAATAAAAACCGAATATTGGTCAAGTAAACTAGGCCATAATTTTTTTCGTGAAACTAATATGAAATTTTGTTTTAGCATCTCTAGAGATCCGTAAATATAAATTGTTTGAATTTAAATTTATTTAATATTGATATAATTTTTTTACCCCTAAAATTTTTCCATTTTTTTGAGAAGTCGTTATCGAAATTTTTGATTGAAACGACTGTAATTAAATAATGCCTAAAGGATTTTAACGTCAAACAGACCATTTGAAAGAAGGGGAACATAGCTTTTTATGTATTAAAATATATAAAATATTTCTGTAAGAAAATACACAAAATAGATCTATTTATCAGAAATTTACCAAGTTTTTTAAATGGAAATTATAGTGTTATGTTTTAATCAATGTTTGATATAGTATAAAATGCACTTTAGAATTTTTTTAAACGAATTTTCAAAAATGAAAATCGGCCCACTAGGTTTTGAGAAAAATGACTTTAGAGCTTGCACTAGAAATACCCAGTCAGGTCGTCATTCAAGGTCCAGTAAAATCCAAGTTTTGGTCATTTTCTGACTTACTTTGCTTACAGAATGTTAGTTAAAATAAGGAAAAAAGTAGTATTTTGTCCATTTATCTTTTTTATGCCAAAAATATATTTTTTTTAATCTGTAAAATAATGTTATTATATTATTAAGATCAATTTTATTTGTCTGATTGTTTACATGTTTTATAAATTCCAAAGACTCATAATTATGTATTTTAATGTTTTAATTAGTTTAGTTTTAATCACTTCTCATCCACAGTCTTAGGAGCCATCACTGTATAATAAATATTTATGGCCCATTGAAGTCCATATGTAATTTAATTTTTTTTAAAGCGAGTTGTCTCGATTACTTATAAAATATAATTTTTGACTTCACAAAAATCCCATGTTATATTAGGGTAAGATGAATAACTGAAGGATGAAGCGATGAGGTAGGATTCGTCTAAATCAAGGGGAGTAACCGTTGCCCCCCGCCATGTAAAGTACCTGGAATTATGGAGTAGATTCCCAAGTAGGGCTTCACAGACAGAGCAATGAATTGAATAATCTAAGTTGACTTCCACGTTCCTAGCACCTGATAGAATCTCATTATTTATTTATCCAATGGAACTCTAGGATAGTAAAAACGATATGTAAAATCCGAGTGCAAAAAAAAAATGTCCAAAAATGGTCTCTATTATATAAACTAGTGTAAGGAGTATATATGGTTAAGAAAAACGTATTATTTACATTAAAATCCTCATGAATCTAATTTTGTTCACTACGAGCTGAATTAACAAGAGAATTATCAATTAAAATAACTTAACAATAATTTATAAATTGACAACATCGGTTCATTAAATGTATCCCTCACGTATGTTATGATAATTTTAATATAGTTTTACTGAAAAACGAATAAATGCTATCATTGATGATAAATTACAGTGCCAACGACACAATAGAACCGTTTTAAATGTCACAGACAGTCAAATCCGTAATTTGCTCAAATGTCTAGTCAATTATTCAAATTTCAAATTACTGATGGTATGGCTAGACCATTTATTAAGTGCTTAGAAATTTCATCAAAAGTTT